TTTTTTTACTTAGAAGTATTTTAGTAATTTCATTAAAAATATCGTAAGTCTCACTACCAAAAGTCACTACCAAAAGTAACAAATGTTAGGATGTTTTAACAATAGTGTCGTTTTTCTGCCCATTTTAAATTTGCATAGGTAGATTTGTACCCTATAAAAATTATGATATTTGGTGAAGTTTTGATATTGGTTCAAGGGTATTTCTTACCCTTAATCCTTTTGTTTTTTTAAATGATATTATTTCTTATTTATAAAGGAGCATTTTAGTCTTTAAATGACATTCAATAATCCTTAATTAGGCCTTCAGATCATATCAAGAATTTGTTAAAAATATAGATCTTACTTTAGATTCTAGTATTTCAATTGGATTTAATTGGTATCCCGCGATTAAGGAAAAAGTGGGTTTGGATTTGATGTGCATCTGTTATTCTTACTAAGCATACCGTACACATCTTTGATTTTTCCCCATCTTCAATTCCTCCTCTTTATTTTAAAAAATAGGAAAAATAAAAGACAAGTGCACAAGATATCAAGAATAATGCATAAAAAAGAGTCAGTTCCCGCAAAAATATGTTGAGTAGTATTTTGTCATTTTTACTTGTTGAATATCCCGGGAATTAAGTAAAACGAATTGAACAAAAAAAGGACAAAAGAGAGAAGGGTGAAAAAGCATGGATTGATCTGAGGAACACTATACATATGGGCAGCACATGTAATGTTTGAAGTTGTCTATAGCCTGCACATGTAACTATGCCTGTCAAAGACAAAAAAAGGAAAAAACGGTGTTGTTTGTTGAAATTAAAACACTATGAGCAGAGCTTTAAAAGGTCACAATCACGGTCTTTACAAGTCCCATGTTCATTCACGTCGCTTCCTTCTCAAAGAGCAATTGCAAATTCATGTGTAAAGTGTGCTAGTTAATTCTTTCCTATTCTTTTCTCCACACATCCAAAACTACTTTTCAGTCACCCATGAAAGGATAATTTAAGCATAATTATTAAAGAAGAAGGTGATCAGCTTCTAGAATGTCCACGAGAGATAGAAGTGTTCGAAATCTTTGAAATTGTTCTTTATCGTCATGAACACTGAACAATATGAGCCTATTACAAAATAAAGTAACAGATGTTCATTATGTAACAGCTAAGTCATTTTTGCCTTATTTTGAAAAGTTCATGTGTAATTTTATATCTAGAGAAACTTTTGGCGCTAGGCATCCATTTTGAAAAATTTTATTGATGGATTTGCATCTTAACCTAAATTTATAAGTCCTCCTTTAAAAAATTACTCATAAGCCAAATTGTTTTCTCACGAGTTGTAAAATAAAATTAATGTGATAATTTATAAGTTTTCCTACAAAATGTGTAAGTCTTCATTAAGAAATTTTGTAGTTAAAGTGAAAAATACACACATATGTATTGTAAATCTATCGCACATACACTAGTTAAGTTGTAATTCTTTCGGAGAATCTGTAGCTCTCAAAAGTTTGATGCGTAAATTGTATGTGAAGGTTTGTAAACAATAATGATACTTAATCAAAATATTAAACATTAATAAAGAATTAATCTTTTATTAAGATATTGTTAAAACAAAACTAATATTTTATTAGTTATTACAACTATTGTTGCCGGCAAAGGTGACCCGATAATGACTTAGTAGCTGGTCAAAGGAGTTGGTCAAAATGATATTTTTAGTAATTTTACATGAATAGGAAATACTATTAATCTCTTGGCATTTATGCGTAATTTTGTGACTTAATCAATATTAATTTTCTTATAGGTAACTTATCCGTAATTTTTTTTTAATCAACTAAGCTATAAAACAATGGAGATCTAATATCGGAGTAAATAAATATTTGAGGGGAACATTGTGGCACCCTTAAATCCTGTGTTTGGTACGAGGGAATTGAAGGGAATGAGAGGAGAGCAAAAATTTTAATGAGCTCAATTTAAAAAAATTTAAAAAATAGGGTCATAAAATTTTTTGGGTTATAACTTAGAGTATCCAAAACCACTTTGAGTTTAAGACTAATTTCTACTGGGTTAGAAACGTTATGGTTAAAGTCCTCTTAATAAGTATGTTTCTTGAAATTTGAACTTGTGTTATCTTTCTTATAAGAATGAGATAGCTTACCATCTTAACTAAAAACTTATTGGTTAATAGGGTTAAAAATTTTTGATAAAGAGAAGATATAAGACAAAATAGTAAGTAAAATTAGTTAAAAGCTTTTAACCCAATTTCTTCAAATTTATAAATGGTTTCACTAAAATTTTTCCTCCCCTCTTCCTCCCTATATTTCCCTTATACCAAACGGAAGAGAATGAGCAGTCTACCCAAAAAAATAGAATAAAAATATACCTTAGCCTTGTAAAATAATATGAAAAATATATTTGTCGGTTTAACAAACTAATTAAACTTAGTGTTTTAAAAATTTTATGGACTCATGCCACTTAAGAATAGCTTGTGTGATAAGGATAAAGTAGCTTGTGCTCAAGATTTGGTATGAGGGAAATGAAGATAAAAAGAGGATAGAAAAATTTTTAATGAGCTCCAGTTAAAAAAGTTGAAGAAGTGAGATTAAAAACTTTTAACTTGTTTTATTTACTGTTTATCTTACATCTTCTTTTTATTAAAATTTTCTTAGAGAACCTTTTATTAATTTTATAACATCACATTTTCAATTGTTTAAATAAAGCTTATTAAAATTTTTCTTTTTCTCTCCTCCAATTCCTTCGTATCAAACATATAGGCTAAAGGTAAAGAGTTTAAATCTTCTTGATGATGTAAGTTTAATAAAAGGGGTTAAAGGAACAAGGGCATAATATCAAAAATTTGTGCCATATCCATAAAAATTTAAAAAATTTGTGGCACATTTGCCCACCCTCAACTCCTTGTTAGTTAGCCTATACATGTAAATAACGTTATTCCATATCTTTTGAATCTTAATACCTAACTTAAAAACATTTATTGTCAATATTTATTAACCAGATATATCTATTTATACATTGTCCAAAGTATGGAAAAAGAGGTATATGTTTTTTTTGTTATAAAAAAGTTTAGATAAGTTCAGTCTCGAGAACTTACTAGGTCTAAAGTATCCTCCTCCAAGTTTGAAGAGCACTTACAGAAGTAAAAAAGAGGTATATGTTTGTTTTTTTTTGGTTATAAAAAAGTTTAGGCAAGTTAAGTCCCAATAATTTATCAGGTCCAAAGTATCCCTTTAGGCTCAAAGAACACTTATAAAAGTATTTACAAATCACTCACTAATAATATTCTCATATCGACAGTAGGATTTAAACTTACGACCTTGTAAGTTATAAACTGACTCTTTACCAATTAGACCAACTCTCGTTGGCTAAATAAGTCATATTATGTGTAACAAGAATTAGGAAAATAAGCTAAGCCCATTGGACCGTCCTGCTTAAATTTAAAGGCCTGGGTTAAAAGAAAACTGAAATAGTAAAATCAGATTACAATTTGTGCCCAAAAACAAATCGGACTACAAACTTGGCCTGTTTAACTCTTTAAAAAGAGGTTAGCCCACTTTTAAGCCTTTTTTAATCAAGTTTAAAAATTTAACAATGTGCAAGTGGATGAACGTTGATGATATAGACCCTTAATAAATCCTAGGATTCTTTATCAATAAGGTTTAACACAATGAGAAATCTTGGAACCAAAGGAAAACCAAAAAAAAAAAAAAAAAAACACACACACACACACACAATGAGAAATACGACAACTCCATATTTAGAGTCTAAAAATTTTTTAGGAGAATTACAATTAGATCTCAAGAAAGAGATTTAATTACCTTAAAATTTAGGGATAATTGAGAAGCATACAATAACAAGTTCTAGAATAAAGAATAACAACGGATTCATGCTTATCACTTGTCAATGAGATTTTTTGATAATTAAATTCCATTCTTAAGACCTCATGATAATCCTCCCAAAGTTTTAAAATAACAATTTGAAAAAATGCTAAAATAATAAGATCTAAAAAAATGCTTAGAAAGATAATGATAAATATACTTATTCAAATAATCCTAATAAAATAATCATAAATGTTTAAAATAATCTTACTTATATTTTATCTCGTACTCCTGAGGGGCGTTGGTACAAACAATGGCTCTTCCATGGATATGCCAATGCCATTACAGAACCCTCAAGAAAGCTTTATGAGCAAATAATTCAGGGTCACAAGGAAACATGACCCTCTCCTTTGCTCCTCACGCAGTCTCGTGTTTATTCCCTCCCCTGCAACCACAGTCACATAAGAGAGAGACATGGTGGCGTCAAAACATAAGATGGACCCCACTTAACTTGATGTCCTTTTATTCAGCCTGTCAACTTTAAGCGATTTCTTCATTTGTGCCGTAATCCATGTTCAGTTGGCTTCCTTTTCGTGACAAGAGTTCATTGGTTTGATTTACGATTACTATGCGACATATTTTCTTCTAAGAGATAAATGTGGATGACAGGATAAGACTACCAAAATCTTGTTTTTTTTTTTCGTTACATTAAAATTTAGGTAAATTGGGTCTTAAGACTCATTAGGATTAAAACACACCTCCAGATTCAGAAAATGCTTACAGAGAACAATAATTTTTGAATAACAAGGCAAGCTAAAGCTTGAAAAAGAGATCTAAGTCATCAGACTTCAGCCTGTACCTTCAGGCTCCCTAGGACTATTAAGGTCACTATGCATCTGGTTAATACAAAAAGCGCCCCTTGGCGTATGAACTAAATTCAACTACATAGAACATAATGCCAACAGAGCCTCAACACAACAATAATAATAGAAACTTTTCCTTCTACGAACCAAGTTTTGCAAGACTTTTGTTTGCCCTACTGCAACGAGTATAATGAACTTTTAAAAAGTGCTTCTAAATTTACTTTTCAATTCTCATTTCAATGAACTAATAATTAGATCAGCATAGAGGATTAAGTCAGAAAGTAAAATCATGCGAGGTTCGGTCCATGTCTTCCCTTTTTATCCCTTACTAGTACTATCAATATCGATATTCAAATATAAGATATAAAATCCGTATCAAGTAGTATTATTTACAAGCCATAGATGGCATGATTCATTCCTTAAATTCCATGCAATACCAGGAAAAACATGTTTTCTTAGAAAGAAAAGAAAATAAGAATAAGACCAAAGAAAGCATCAATCTTGAGGGATTATTAGAATATACGTATATCTTTAGAACAATGTGACTGAATGAAGTAAAGCCTGTACTTGCAAGCTCTCTCAACATTATACAAAAAGGTGAACAACTATACTGCAGAATGAGAACCCTCTTACTTGTCCATCAAGATCCTATCAGGGGAAGCATTTCATCCTCTGCAATGAGACACAGGTCAACTAGAGCAGAACAAAGATTATAATATTATCAAGTGTGTCCTGAACTAGTTCCATTCATTTACCTGTCTCTCAATTTCGACAGCTAAAGCAGCCAGCCTGCGTTTCAAAATCGATCTGTCTCGTTCGCAATCTTCACTCTCAGTGTCTAATAGTAAATAAATGAGCAAGGTTCAGAAAGAGTCTGAAGGAACCCAATGCTGGGAAAGCTATACAGACAAATAAATATGATCTGACCAAGTGACTAAAGATAATGATACCAAAATAAAACTTCAACTTCATGCCCTTCTAAAATCTCCATGTTCTCATACTTTCATCCCAATATCCACATGACAATGGCTGAAGGGACTCCAGCTCTGTGACTCTTTTAATTCAGCTTCTTACTTTTAATTGAATTTGATGTATGGGTTGTATAAGTTCATGTTCAATCAATGAAATTCTCACATTAAGGCACTGTTTGGGTGACACCCCAAACCATGGTTTGGGTGATAAGTCACCCAAACACCCACCCAATTTGCACAAACCATGGTTTTGGGCCAAAACCATAGTTTTGGAAAAAGCAAAAATTTTTTGTTTTTGGAAAAAAAAGGAGAGTGTGAGAGCCTATAGGATATGTATCTTGTTATGTTTTTTATAAACATATTTTTTTATAAACTTATTTAATCTTATATTTTATAAATATATATACATATTAATTATTTATTAATTATATTATCTTATGTATTATTAATTATGTTAATAAAAATATATTATTAACAATTTTATTCCTTCAAATTAAAATATATCATAAAATCTATTTTTTTCTGTAATTATCATATTAACTTTTGTCTTTTTTTTAGTAATTTGTATATATAAAAAGTGCTTCTGATAACAACTATCCAAACACTCTTACTTCTCAAAATCACTTTTTCATAAAATCTATTTTTTCCAGAATCTATTCTTTCCAGAATCACTTTTTCAAACCACGGTTTGGTTTCATCCAAACACACCCTAAATATTTCAATTAAATTACTTTCGAGCCAACAGAAGTTACTCACGCCTCCTTTCTATTTTCAGCTTTGCATAAAAATTCAGTAATCCAGTAGTTCTATATATTCCTTCAAGACTTCAACATTTTATTACTTCAAATTTATGTAAATCACTGTGATGACAATAGCTGCCGTTTTGTTTGCCACATCAGTATTGTTTGTGCAAGACCCCAAGACTATCTGCTGTTTCCCCCGTCTCTCCATCATTCTCAAGCAATTAATTTTCAATACTTCACATGTTTGCCATGTAGCAAAGGAGTTTCAAGAAGAGAGAAAAATTCTTAATCTGTTGGGAACACATTATTTAGGTTTATAAAAAACTGATGCTTCGCTTCCCTCACACGCAGGAAGTTAGCCTCCATCACGTTAGCCAAGGAAAGAAGTTTGATGCCGTAGAACTAATAATGTGTTGGCCAAGCATCATGAAATATTTAGACTATACTGCGCTTTTCGATCTAAAAACATCCCTAACCTTCACGTGTCACTAATTTTTTGACATAATAACTTTGACATTTCAAATTTATAAATTTGACATTATGAATAAAACATACTACATTAATTTTATAGTATAAATAATAATCCTAGTCATTCCAAATCATTGTATTTTTAAATTTTCAAAAAATAATTATTATTTGGTATAAATATTTAAATGTCATTTCTCTTGAAAAAATGTTAGCCTTCTACTGTATTATGTATTATAATAGTGTCTTACTAGTAGTTTTAAGGATTCAAGTTGGGTATTTAAGTAAGGGGTATTAGTGTCGTACTAAACCCCAAATACAAGAAAAAGTTCCTAATTAATTTCTTCTTACCTACCAAACACATCTTTGGCTTCAAAATAGCCTTTATATGAATGATCTCTCCTCCTCCTCTCTTTTCATTTCCCTAAAAAATAATTCAATACTAACAAACATGACCCATGATCTAATTGCTCTTTATTAGTGAAGTAAATTTTCTTTTGGAAAGACGGGTATGTTTATCCCGCTTTCCATGCAATTATGTGACATTTGGGGTCACTATAAGGCCATAAAAGTTTATAGCCAAAACAAGAGGGCCATAACAGTCACTATGTTAAATCCAAATCATTAGTGAACCAGTTTCATATATAATCAGTAGTGACCTAACATCTCTACAATCTAGCTCAACTATCAGATAAGCATACCATGCCGATATAGTGTGTGTTATGGAAAGTAAAGAAATAAGAGAGAGAAAGAGAAAGTAGAAGAGAAAAGAGTAAGAGAAACAGAGGAGAATTAGAGAAGAACAGAAGACAAAGAAAAACTGAACAGCATTTTATCATATTGCAAAATTGAGTTACAAATGACAGTAGGTACTTATTTATAAGCAAAAGCCCTAATAGATATAGATCTAAATAGGTATCCTAATATTATCTATATATTCTCTAGATATCCTAATCCATCCAAATCTTCCTAACATAATTAAATCCTATATAAATCCTACTAATATCATTTAAATCCTATTTATCCTATTTATATCATTTAAATATTTTCTCATTTATCACTATGATTACATAACAGTGTGATACAAAAGAAAACTAAATTTTGTCAGTTTAGAAGGACTAGGCACATGATGTCACAACGTATGAGCATCTACCAATGCAACTGGTCTCTTGTTTACAGCCAATGAGCAAAATTAGTTACGCATGATGTTTAAATTGCTATGTTTTTGTGCCCCAAAAAACAGAGATGATTCATTTGATATCAAAGGCAGTCGAGCGAACAAAGGAAGAAAAAAAGCTTTAAAAGTTGAGTTAAAGCCAAAACAAAGAGAGCTAAGCTAAGTTTAGCAGGTTCTTACCGTAATAATAGGATGACAGAATAGCAATGCGCTCTGTTGGCTGGGAAAACAGGGGAAAAATAATTGTCTTAGTACTAAGGCAAAAGTATTAGACAGTTTGTTCAGCATTTATAAAGCTAGCTCCAAAGAGATATATCAAGAGAAAAATGACAAAATTGGCTAGTCAAAAGATGGTAGGATATACCTAAGGTTCACCTGACAGCACATAACTTAGATGTTGAAGAATGAGTTCATTTGAGTACACTTATATTTTTCAGTTAAGGAAAGCAAATAAGAATTTCACATTTCATTAATATCAATTCTTTTTGGTAAAAAATTATTAAATCAGAAGATTCAAACGTATGGGAACATCCATCCAAAATTTGATAGACCCAATAAAATATAACCACAACGAAGAACTTTTGATAAACAAATTATACGTGCATGATCAGTTATTGAACATCAAATCCAGGAAAATAAAATGCCACAGAAGGATAAGATCTTCAAGTATACCATAACAAATATCCCCTCTTTACGAGTAGGCAGTTCCTCGAGCTTTCTCAATGTATCATCACCTTTAGTGACTCTTCCAAATATTGCATACTGGAAAGGGCATACATAAGAATATCAATCGGAATCATTATAATTCCACTGAGTTAATGTTATGCAATAATGTTAGGCAAGTAAAGCTCAGCCACCTGGCCGTCAAGATGAGGAGCATCTCCTAGAAGCATTGAAAATGAGGATCCACCACTGTCTGGATCACTATACCTGTATGAGAACCAACCCAAAAAAAAACAAATCAAATATTCTGCAGTCACTCAAACCAAATACAATGATGGTTTAAAATGTCAGAGCCAGAGCAATGTGATAATGAAAACTAAGTTACGCAGGCTGTATCCCAAAATATTTGTGTGAAGACTCCAAAAATACATACTTGCTGGCTGATAAACACCGCCCGCATGGTTATGCCAATTTCACAAAGAGACGTTTCAGACGTATTCAATAAACTAGTAACAGTCCTACCCCTGACATTTCAAACAAGTGGTTCCTATTATATTAGCCTCAATGCACCAAAAATGTAAGAATTCCAAAGAGAATGATATAAGATAAATCCAGCAGTATTATCTTTTATTAACATTTTTCCATTTCCAACTTATGATACACTAAACCTTCTCCTTCAAGAATATCAACTCAATATCTGACCATATACAAGTCAATACATGATAGACAGAGTTGCATATCCATCTGAATATTTCATCAACCCAAAATGAACTTGTTTTCAATGGATATCATATTTGGCCAACACTGTGGGAGTTCCTTTTTTTCTCCACATGAATAATATGACAGTATGACTCTCATGAACAACACGGAATTATCTCTACAAATGTTAAACCTAACCCGGATCGTTTTCAAGAGGTAACTATTTGATGCAACATGGATAGCAAGAGTACCATATCAAACTTAAGTAGCCAGTTGCAAAACAATTTGACTAACAAGGAACCAATGAGATTTTGTAATTCCCAGTGAAGTTCACCACTCCACGCTTTGAAAATCTCCTTAGAACTAACTTGTTGCAAATTTAAACACAAATATACTTTATCTTAAATGATTCATTATGCTAAATGTATTATAGAATAACAGTCCTTGTAGTAAAACTAAATGCAAAAGCAATTAATGACAGAAACATGAGTACGAGTGAAGTCAACATCTCCAACAGTTAAGACAAAGTTCTACAGATGCCTTGTCCAGGAGAGATCTCACCTTCCCATGGAAAGAATGCCTCTAACATGTTTGACTTCGCTAAATTCACCAACAACAGTCTTTTCAGCTTCTCTTTTTTGTTCTTCATTCATGGGAGCGGATCTTCCACCCCTAACATCCGCTACTTGGGCCACAAAGCCTTTATCTACCTGCACATTCAATCGAAGCCCTCTTCGGCTAAGAAACAAGAAATACCCACCGAGTGTAGGCTTGCATAGGTTCAGAGAACGATACCCGGAAAAAATGATTTGTATTATAGCATCCAAGTCGCACAAGTTTAAAAATGTGATCAACGGTTTTGGGTGCAACTGTGGGAAAGAAACCAAATTCTATATCGCCATAATTCGTCTGCGTTCAACAACCAAAGTGATTCAGGCCAACAGCCAAAAACCTATATGAATATTAGAAACGATTATCTAGCCCAGATTCTCAAGCAAGAAGGGATCTTTTGTTCCTTGAGCAAATTAACTCCAAATTTCAGACCTACCAGCATTAGCTACGAACAAAACTGATCTGAACGGTCTTGTTAAGCAAGATGGGTTATCCATAATTTGGGTTTCTCATCATCATTATCCATGGATAATAAGTACACATTCATAAAGAGGATTGTCCACGCAGATTCGGCATCTAAATAAGTAGTAGCAATTCATTCTGCAAAAGCTTTGAAGTTTAAAATTGTAACGCCAAATCACGTGACGGTTTGGCGAACTAAAAAGACTATAAATTTTAACCTGAAAGACAACACGGGTAGATCCGAGTTCGGGTTCCTGAGATAAGGCCTGAGATATTGCAGAAATACACACCAAATAAATGCAACCCTTGGTCCAGAAGTTCCACATTTTCGAGTTTGCTTCCCTGACCAGTCCCCACTCCCCAGAACATGGGGTCAACATAGAGGTTCTTAAACCATCCGTAAACATTTCGCATTCATCGTCGATCATTTGACACCAAAAATGATTTCTTTTTTCCTGGAAATGATAGAAAAATAATTTTGAAATTGCAAATTTAAAAGTGAAAATATCTCCGGCACCCCAAGGTACTTGGACTTGAATTTTAATAAATTGGGAATGGAATTAGGATTAAGATTGGGTTTGGGATTCATGCTTTAAAATTATGTTTAGTATGAAATAATATTTGAAGGAAATAATTATATGGGAAAATTTCAATTAAGGACCATAATAGACAATTTATTTCAAACAACTCCAAAACATTCTGAAATGTCACTGCAGAACTAAAGGAGCAAATTAAAATTAATTTAATAAAAGAAAAAACATTGTTATCCCTCAAAACTACGACCATAAAGCTCTTCTCCCCCTCTCTTAAAATTGTTAATAACTCAAACTCTTCTCTCTCTCACTCTCTGAAAAATCTACTGTTGATTTGAGAGAGATCAATCACTGTCATCGTTGTTTCGGTAAGGAGAGCATTCACCGTCACTACTATTCTAATATGGAGTGCCTTTATTGTCAGTGCTGTTCTAGTAACAAGAGCTTTTGCTATCACCATAGTCTCTCTCTCTCTCTCTCTATGTACGCTGCCTCTTTTTCTGCCTTTCTATTCAAAAATTTCTACATATAATGCTGTAAAAATCCTTCTTCATTTCTTCTATTGTAGATTTTATGGGTTTGGTTTGAGCTGTTGTGAAGTTCTGAACCAGCGAGAAATTTTTTTACTTCTCAGATTTGAGATAAGATTATACAGTATGTTGATTTTAGATTCATACCGTTGAGTGTTGAGAGTAAGTCTCTTTTAGTTCCTATCATGAACTATATTATGAATTTGCAAATTTTACTTCTCCAAAAAAAATGATGATTTGGTGCTATGAAAACTTGTATTTGTGTTGTGAATTTGCAAATTCCTGTTATAAATGTACACTGTGTTTAATTATTAAAAATTGATTGAAATTAATACTTGAATGATGTTTCGAAACATATTATATATGGCTAGCGGCAGTGGAATTAAATGTTTATAAGTTCATTGATTATTTTGAGCTTTTATTGTTGCACCTATGTGAATGTATGGATGGTTCTTATCCTTGTGCCATAGAAACAACACATTATACTAAAGTCTAAGTTGTTGTGGTGACTCATTACTTACAGAAAAAATATGAAGTCAAGCGTTGTTGCAAAACTACTTCAACAGATAGAGACAGGAAAAAAAAAGCAATGACATAGCAATTGTTATATTTTTATCCAAGATGTAATTTAAGCTACTTTAGAATGTGTTCAAATTTATGTATAGAGAATTTGTACGGTTTCAGTTTCAAGGAATATACATTATGAGTATGTTTTATGTCTATTAATTATAATCTTATGCTTATCCCCACTAATTTATAAGTATATGATATACTACTGACAAATGAAATTAGAGAATTTGCAATAAGAATACATTGCTTAACAACTTCATGTTTTGGAAATGTGGTTGTCATATTGACAACTGAAATTGGAAAATTTGTAAGAAAGATACATATATTAACAACAAAAACACATCCATTTGCAAGTGAACTAGTTGAATTGGAGAAGATGAACATGATAATTCACAAGTCCAACAGAGACTATTTACAAGTGGAATTAGGTAATTTGCAACATGAATATGCCCATTAACAATAGAAATACACCATTTGCAAGTGGATTTATTTAACTCATGAATACTGTAACACCTTACATTTGCATCATTATATTATGCCAAGTTAAGATGTTCAGAAGCGCATTTACAGGTTACTGGGTTGAAAAATCTAAGTTTGAAAATTTCTTCTCCCGCATTACTATTCATTGTAACCTTAAATTTGGCATAACTTTGAAAAATCACAACTAATTCTAGAAAAATTGAAACAAAGTCGTTCCAATTCTCACTCGAAGCTCTTAACATCATCTATTAAGGAAAAATGACCTCAAGTTTCAATTTAATCAGAAATGCATCCAATTTTAATTTCAAAAAGTACTGTTCATTTGGTCATTTTTCTATTTTCCAGGATTTTTGCCTAACTTCGGAAAGGCATAACTTCTTGTACAAAGCTCCAATTTTGACACTTTACCACTCATTTTAAAGGGAAAAATAAGATCTATTTGCATGCCAAAGTTCAAGGAAAAATTCAACCATTTGACCAGGGTCTTACTTGGTCAAAGTTTGGTCAAATTTAGACCATTTTTTCCCCCTTTTTCACTAATTCTAATACCATTTCGTTTTTCACCATAAGTAGACCATACTCGCATATAAAGCTACTCTACCATTAATATACATCTAAAAAGGTTATCATGTCATGTGTTCGTGCTCGGAATATGCTTACATGGCTTGGAAAAGAAAGGTTTAAATCCATATAATATAATACATAGATCATAATTTCCTCAAGCCATGATTACTTCTTTTCCCTTCTCCTTGGAGGTAGTGGCACCTAGGATATCATGTTATAGGAGGAATGAGATTTCATAGAAATCCTAGTAGCATTGAACATACAACCATCAAGTTAACATGCATAAGATGTCATGCTACATGTAGTAAAATAACATTGCTAGTCATTATGCCATGCCATAACCATTCCGTATCCATGTCATCATCATGGAGCATATAATCATTCCAGTCAAAACTCAATCATGCAAGAGCCAAGACATACATTGCAAGGAGTTCACATCATCAATGCATAAACATTCTCATGGCACATAAACACACATAGCAGAAACACCAAATGCAAGTTAACAAAACAATTGTAAGTTCATGCTACCTCGGTTCCACGTTCAATGTTTCCTCCTTGTTTTCCTTGCTTGAGGTCCTCCTAGGTTTCCATAAAATTGCCTATCAACCATACAGTAAGGGTATGGTAAATTCCATATCCAGTATACAATTCTTTCTCAATATAATACTGTCCTTGTGCCTTTCAATTTATAACTTCTGTATACCTTTCCTAATCTTTTGACTTTGGTTTGACCAAGCCTTAATCCTCAATTAAGGTCTTGGAATTCTTCCTTAATCCATGATTAATCATGCTTTCTTGGTTAATCACTAACCCTTAATCCTTAATCCAATATTTAATTAAGGTCCTCAAGTCACATAGTCATTAATACAACATAATCCTCTAAGATTAAGTCACTAATCCCTTATGGATTAACCATTAATCATTCTCTAATCAACATGATTAACCCTTAATCATTCCTTAATCAACATGATTAATCATGATTAATCATCCTTTAATTAACATAACTAATCACTAGTCATTAATTAATCAAGGTAACTAACCTTAATTACTTATTAATCTTTAATCAAATAACATGATTAATCTTAGCTATCACTAAACCATAATTAATCAAGGTAATTAATCCTAATCTTCCTCAAATAAATCATTAACTAAAAATAATTAACACTTAGGGAGGTAAACATACCTTAATTAGCCCTTAATCGGCGATTAGAGGCGTTTAACCTTTCTTTTTCCCTTTTTCTCTCTTCTTTCTTTCTCTCTCCTAGAACTTAAGAGCAAAACATTCCCTCTCTAGGAAACCATCTTGGCCGAAATTATGAAGGGTGAGGGGGGTATTTATAGGCTTGAATTTTTCAAAATACCAAGAAAAAGATGCGATCTCAGCCGTCCATTTTTTTTTTTCACTTTACACATGGACAAATCTTAGAGCACAAGCCTTGAGATCATGACACATGAAAGGACACCTATTCACCATATGATTTTCATGTGGTAGAAAAATATTATTTTAATGTTTTGTCTCTTATTTTCCTTTATGCCCTTGAAAAATTTGAAAAATTCCAACCTTGTCCTTTCCCCTTATTTTGGCCGAATTATTACTCTAAAAATAGGGAGAAAAATGACTCATCCAATATTCAGTGCACTCCACTGATTATTTGTGTATTTTCGGTCCAATTTTTCAACAATCCTGTCCAATTTACTATCACAAAATTTTGATTTCAACACCTCCTTAAATTCCTCTCATTCTAAGGATATTCCATGATTTTTCTCAAATTTTACCTCGCTCTATAATTTTCTAAATTTTATTCCGTCAAAAATCAATATTCTACCGATAATAATTCGGTAATAAATATTCTTTAAGCTAACTTCTGTACTTTCAAAGGTGGGAAGTAATTTTAAAAATTAGGATAATATGTCACATAATTTATCCCTATTTTTCCTTGAATTTTTGACACCTCCATATATTTTAAATAATGGAAATTGGCTAATTTTCCTTAATTAACCAAAAATTCCAATAATTACAAATAATTCCCTGATAAATTAGTTTTTATTCTATATTCACCTTCTAAGCCTCAAACATTATTCCTTACCCTCCTTTCTATTTTTCATGATTTTCTGGGAATTTTCAGGAATTTCGGACATTATTTCCAATACTGCCATTTCTTGACTGATCTTTTCAAAAATGACCGTTTTGTCCCTATCCTAATTTTTCCTCATAGCCTGGATCTTCTATCAGTCTACTATACTACTTGACCTTAGTCAGTCTCAAATCATTCATCAATTAGGATAAAATTATCAGGGTGTGACAAATATAATAATTCACAAGTTTGGGAGTGATAATTCACAAGTGGAATTAGAAAATTTGTGACATGATCACCCCCATTAACAACATAAATACATATATTTGCAAGCAGATTTATTTTATTCATAAAGTTGAACATAACAATTCACAAGTTCAAGAGTGACAATTCACAAGTAGGATTAGGACATTTGCAACACATATACACCCATTAACAACATAAATATATCCATTTACAAGTGGATTTATTTTATTCATGAAGTTAAACAAAACAATTCACAAATTTGAAACTAACGGTTTATAAGTGAAATTAGGACATTTGCAACACGAATATGACCATTGACAATATAAATGTGTCCATTTGCAAGTAGATTTATTTCATTCATAAAGTTGAACAAAACAATTCGCAACTTTGGGAGTGACT